ATCTTATTATCTTACAATTTTCCCTCTCAAATAAGATATTTATACTGGAAAACAAGACAAAAATATAACAATGTGGGTCTGTCAAACCTGTTTTGAGATCTCCCATGGTCGGGTCACTGCACCCAAGTCACACGCAGTCATCAGCATAGATCTGGTAATATTTATAGTATTTTAACAGCAGATCCTGGCATTTCTGTTATCAATTTTAAAAGTTGTAGACACTCACCTGAACATGTCTCTATGTTCTTCATTACTCCAACTGAACTGTCCCGACAAAACACACTCAAAGAACTTGGTTCTTCTTCTTTTATATCCAATGGATTATGAAGATAATAAAGAAAAAAAAAGATCCAATAATTAATTTTACATAATTGCACATTTTACCATTTAAGGTTATTTAATGTTCCTTAAGGCATCTTTCAGATCTTCACCAGGCTTTCAGGATCTGAACAAAAGCCAGAACAGGGGCTTAATATCGCCTCTTCTGCCTCAATTCAAAGGGCGCCTCTCTGTGGCCTAAACGTGAATTACATGCATCTGGTTGAATATTTAAAGCAGTTCGAAGCTGTGGGTCGCTACCCCTTATTATGACTATTGAAACATATGCTGTTTGATACTATTACTTACTTGAAGTACAAGGTGAGATCTGTGGACAGAATGGCCTGTTTCAGTAGCTGCATCATGTTGCTGTACTCTTTGGAGGACAGATTAGCAAAAATGTTGTGACCCTGTTAAAAAAAAGGAGAAAAAGATGTTAGACAAATGTTATATCCAATAGTAAGGGAAGAGTGGGGCAAGATGTCTAAACTGGCAAACTGGGTCACTCGCTTAATCTAATGCAAATGCATGACAATGTGAGGAGGGAGTAACATTTCATATTTCCCTGGAACCTTGATGGTTGTATATTGAATTAATGTGTTCAGTTTCTTAAAAAATAATAATGCAGTTCATTACATGAAATTATTTTAAAGCCTTTTGATTATTTAGGAGAGAAACTATTTGCTATTTGGTTTGTCCTGTACAATTTTATGCCCATATTTGTCATTGATCATTTACAATGGCACAGCTTACTGCTAACGTGAGTCAACTTACCTTTTTAAAATCTCAGCGGGGAAGAAGTCATATTTCTGTGGCCCTGTGCTTTCATTTAATTTGAACTCATAGCAGGCACTTTTAAACATAATTAGATCTATTAATTTGAGCTTTATCGGACAGATTAACCCTGTAAAGCCTGACATACTGTATGGAATAATAACAAAAATTTCCAAAATATATATTTTTTCAAGCATCATATTTGATACATCAGGCTTTCTTCAGAGGCCCAAACTGAGCAAAAATATGCAATTTGGTGCAGCTGCTGATACTTATATGGCCAAAAAGTACATGTTAAATTCTGATAGCGTGTTATGTAAATAAATCAATGAGATCTTTATATCAGTATAGCAGACTACTTGCATTAAATGTGTATAAATATAGTCTCCATAGCTATACTAATATCAATAATATGTCTTAGTAAGGTTATATTAAAATGCTTAGTTTTATGAACAAAGCTCTGTAGTTTTTATTGTGGAGGAAGTACAAATAAATGTTCCTCAAAAGCCTGATTTGTCATATTTTATTACCAATTTTAACTAGATTTTTTTGAAAATAATGTATGGATAATCAAGTAAACCTACAGTATGTAGCTTCAGACCATTAAGTGTCATCTTGAAATATTACTAGCAATATAACATGTATTCTTATGTTTACTCTATACGGATTTGGTGAAAATTTCACAGCAAAATGCACGCTTTCCACAACTATTGTATTTTTTACAATTTTATGAAAAGGCCTTTTACTTACTAAAAAAGTATAAACTGTCAATCAGATGACAAAAGGCATATAAAAGGTCATGTTTATAATTTAGAGGCCTTAGAAAGTAGTGTATCAAATACAGTATGACACAGCAGGCGCTGTAGGGTTAAGTAAAATGTGGCACAGCTTACCCCACTCTCCTAAAGTCTACAGTAAGTGAAGTTTGGGGAAAGCACATCATCTCTCATTCCAAGTTCTAGTACTCCTATAAAGCCCTGTCTTTTCTGCTGAAATAAAGCCAATCATGAAACCAGCCATCTCTTCACACCCCTGAGTATCATTCATAAAGAGTGTGTCTCCAAAGCTCTCCATGCATGTTCAGTCTCTGGGATAGAAAGCAATTTCTTTCTCTCCTTGCTTCAGTGCAGCTGACCCAAGAGGGGAATCTCCTTAGCACAGTTAATTGGTGTTGGTTAAAAAAGCTCAATGGACGTCTACAGGAAATCGATACAGAGCTTGATCATGATTAAGCAGCTCAGAGCTAAATCAGCCACTTAATCAAACGCTGACATCTATTTGCATTCATTCCATCCACTGAGACATGCAAATGTGGACGAGGGTAAAATGGGTCATTTCGGCAAATCCATTACAAGAGAAGTGTGAGAGAGACTGGTTATTACTCCATAGCTTGGCAACATTCATTGTGTTCTGCAGATCACTGTTTTCACACACAGTGTGAGTCCAAAAGTGTTTATTTCATTGAAAAGTCAAACTGAAAAACTAGCATTCATTTTATAATTACTTATTATTTGTTTTATTTGCTTTACTGAATATTTGTTTCATTTGCTTCAACTAAGTAATGGATATACCATGGACCATATAATGAATGAAAATACAATTCATTGCAAATAAGAGTACAAATTGAAATTGAAATTTTAAAATTGACCTTTATTCTGTACTGCTCAGTACCTGACCTGACAGACATGCTCACCTCACTCTGCAGGATCATGACGGCGTGGTTGAAATGATGATGCTCAAGTGTGGCAGATGTTCCGTACAGCAGCGCTAGTGCTGACCCAGACCTTTGGTAGCACAACAGAGATCAGATCCAGAACAATAAGCACATTATGCTGCTGTACAAACACACAGGTCACGCTAAATAGACTGCACTACAAAAAAAGAAAAAGAAAATCACTTCATTGGCATTGTGTCTTGTTTTCCAGTAAAAATACCTTAAAACAAACTATATTTACTTGAGAGGCAAAATTATGTAAAATATTTGTTAAAAATGTACTTAAAGTGAATTAAGTTTTTTCATAATCCATTGGTAAATTGGGTAAAAAATGTATTCAAGATAAATTCTCTGGAAACGAACTATAGCATCTTATGCAAATTTTCATTCTCAGATATACTTCTGTTTAAAGGTTTGGGGTCAATATGTGTTTTTTAAAACTAAATGAATGCTTTTATTCATCAAAGATGCATTAAATTGATCAAAAGTGACGAGAAAGACTATAAAATAATTGCGATTTCCCAACCCGATCTCATAGCAATTCATACATATGTTACGAGTGGGCTAATTCGTATGAATTCGTACGACCTTACTCATAGAAATTCGTACGAATTTTGCTGAATCGTATGTATCTTACGAGTTCCCCAATTCGTATGAATTCGAACAAATGACCAACCCCTAAACCTACCTGTCACTGGGGTCTAGACAAATCGTACAAAATCGTATGAGTGAGTGAGTTACGAATTCATATGAATTAGCCACCTCGTAAAATACGTACGAATTGGTCGTGAGAAGCACCAAATCAACATATTCAAATGATTTCTGAAGGGTGCATACTGAAGACTGGAGTAATGGCTGCTGAAAATTCAGCTTTGCATCACAGGAATAAATTACATTTTAAAATATATAAAAATAGAAAACAGTTATTTTGAATGCTAATAATATTTCACAATGTTACTGTTGTTGCTGTATTTTTAAACAAATAAATCCTGCAAATAAATAAATAAATAAATTCTGCCTTGGTGAGCATAAGAGATGTTTTTTTAAAAACATTTTTAAAAATCTTACCAACCTCAAACTTTAAAATGGTGGTAAATGTTTCTTGCTTTAAAAAGATTTAGATTTTTTTTGAACTGGGGGAAAAACAAAAGTAAATGCAAATAATAAAATGCAAGTAGCCATGTAAACATGCAGAATTAGGATAGCAAAATAAAATAAAAAATACTTTAACCTTAAAAAGGGAGGAGAAAACACCTCCCATGTTGGCGTTTAAGGTTGTGCAGCCAATCAGACACTCCAGAGAATTGGCACAAATTGGTCAGTCAGTAGAAGTTAGTCATATTAGACAGATGCCAACATTGACAGGTTACATGATATGCCTCATCCATGAACAACTTTACTTTCACATGACAATTTTAGTGCTATGTTGATACTGCTGGGTCATTATTTGATGTGCAATGTAAAATCTGGAGCCACTGACGTAATTTACATTAACAGACTTTTGACTCACTTTGCCTGAAAGGCGTTGTTCGTGCCACGATGGTCCAGGTCATGGCAGAAACACCCAACCATAAGCGCAAGAGTTTCGGTGTCTGTCAGCACCTCCTGGAACCCAGCAGTCTGGACCACAACAGAGAAACCTACTACTGCAAATCCTCCAATACAGTGATTAAATTATGGCTTGAAAGATCATTATTGATTTAAACTATGTGCATTTACAGCTTCTACCTGAGAATGTCATTAGAGGGCTAGTTCACCCAAAAATGAAAGGTATTTACTGACACTCATGTTGCTCCAAACTCTTATGACTTTCTTTTCCAAGGGTGTTTTCTCTGCCATACAATGAATCTGGATTGGGACAGGGGATGTGAAGCTCTAAAAAGGCAAAAAGCACCTTAAAGGGTTAAGCCCCGTTCACACCAAGAACGATAACTATAAAGATAACTATAAAGATAACGATATTAGCGTCCACACCAGCGAACGATATCATCCGTTTATTCTAAGCTCACATGCGTCTGCCGCTTTAAATTCTTGAGCTCGTTACAGCAGGATGGATTCTGATTGGCTGTCGATTTTTTTATCGTTCATCAGCTGGGGAAAAAATCGTTTTGAAAGTGATCACAACGATATCGTTCCTCTGTATCGTTATCGTTATAGTTGTGGTGTGAACTATGCTATTCTTTAATATTGAGAACGATT